ATAGGATCCTTAAAATGGTAACTGACTGATTCTGGCAACAATCTTTCACTCCAGGAATTATTAAGTTGAATTACAATTGTTTATATTGTTTAAATCTTGTCCGTCTAATCACAATAAATTGTTATTAAATATTAAAATATTACCATGATGGTCTAATGTAAATCGAATATTTCGATAAAGAATATCATTTAATATTTTAAATGTTAATTATTGTAATATTTTAATATTTAATAAGAATTTATTGTGATTAGACGGACAAGATTTATACAACATATATTTATTATATCACAATATGACGCAACTTTACCATCTTACAATTGTTTACTAAAAAGCAATATTTTTGTGCATAATTTATGGGTAAGCCTATTTTGTGGTCTATTTTTATACAATTTCACATGCCTAGATTTAATTCTTCACAGGCATGGCAGTTATACGTGAGAAAGAATATAATATTTCGCGTGGCATCCATGTTATTTTTTTACTTTCTACAAAGAAATTACCACAACAAAATAGCATATTTTTTTTAACTGTCTGTTTCCATATGCTAGAGGAATTCAGAAACGTATATAAAATATAAATTTTATACAGTTCTCATCTCAAAAGTTCGCACGTGCGCCATCTTCTTATTATCAACCCTAAGAGAATTGAGAATTACAAATTTGAAATGGCCCCAAGTGGAATAATGTTCAAGTCATGTCATGAGAATTATTAAAGCTGCTCTCGGGTTAAAACAGGGAGACAGACGGACAGACACAAACAGTCCCGTATGAGTTAATTTTGTCCACAAGTTTAAGAGAACACATAACGTAAAGTCTCAACTTTACGGCGTAACTAACTACAGAAAAAAAAATTCGCAAATAGCCAGACCTCAGAAATAAATTCCTCGCCTTAGGTTTTCGCTGGACTTAAGGCTCTCAGATTCGAATCCGGCTCGAGACATGACGTTTTCCCGGTTGTGTGTTCCCCTTTTCTGTACTGTGATAGCAGAACCCTTTCGACATTCTGATCACCAATACGAGATATTCTACTGCGTATCTGGAAGATGTACTTCATCATATTTGTACATAGTTTATAATCTTCGCAAAATATTAAGGACGATAAAATTTCCGGTGAGTGTAACACGTATGGAAATAATAATCAAAAACAAAATTTTGGTCGAAAAACCTGACGTAAACAAGAGTATAGGCCTACTTGAAGCATAAATGTTCCGATTATGAGATAATATTAAAATGAATTATAATAAAGTAGGTTTGTGTTAGGACGCGAGTTGGATTAATCTGGCTATTAATAATGAGCGATGTGCTGTCATGAACATATACGAGCCTGGCTTTATTCATGTGATGGAAGTTTAAATTATTTAAAAGACTAAATTGTAGCAATTTAAGGGTCTCTGTTTCATGGAGTTAATTATAATGATAATTATGTGCTTTGTTAAGAATTTCGTTTGTTAATGAGAAGACCAGATGTAATCGGAGAGCGTAGTGGCCCACAGAGAAACTTCCGCCAACATTTTTGAAACAGTTAGTAGTCAGCGAAGCACAATATATTTTGCTATCTCAGCTCTCCTTTCGCCATCCTTTTTGTGGATATTGTACGTAGAAGCCATTTCAAGGAAATTGCTGTTCGTATTATAATGGGCAGTCATAAGAGAAACTCGCTTTCTTATCTCACAAAATTAAATATTAAATTAAAATTGTAAGGAAGAAGCTGTCTTACTCTTAAGTATGTTCATTAGAAGAGGCAGGTGGTGAGTCATTCTTAGCTCCTCTTATGAAACTGAGATGATAATTAAAAAGATATAAGGCTGTAGTCTCATTTAGAATACAGCATTCTACAGAGAAGAACTGAAATGTGTAATCTGCCCCATAATTTGTGTCCAAGTGCATGTAATTATCACAAAAATTATTCTAAAAACTTGAAGCGAATAAAGTCTGGGAATACGTAGACGGCGGATGACAATATTACAAGTTAGGAAATACATGCATGGAGTAAAAACGTCGTGGCTTTGTTATTGCCCTCAGATCTTCAATTTGAAAAAGATCTCTTTCTGCTGTGACGAATTTAAAATCGTGTTTGAGTTTGGCAAAAGTTACGTCTGAGTTGTCTGGTGCCAGTGACCTTTGCGCGGATGGACGGTCTGGTACCTGTCTGACTAGGTGATGACGTCACTTTGGGGTATTCCCCATTGGCATTCGCGACAACGGTCACGTGGGCATTTCGTCCTACTGGGGATTTCCCAGGTTCACTTTGACGCTCAGAACCGAAATCTTGGTTTCTTGCGAAGCGTCAGCCATGTTTCTGCTACTAACGAAAAGAATATTGGTTAAGAAAATTGTAGTCAAACTCCCCAGTATAAAATTTCAAGCGGTAGACTGTCAGATAAAAGGACAGGCAGAGACGGTGAAGCTAATAGGCGTAATTTTACAATTTTGTTTCAAACGCGACTATAAACCGATCTTAAAATGTATGATATAAGAATTAGCACCGCGTTCGTCAGACTCAGGATAAAGTCTACAGACGCGAGCTTATGATCACACTTAGTAGCATTCTTTTGTTGGCTATTGGTCATCTGACAGGCCATAAGCTTCTCAAGAAGGACATAGTTCCATAGAGTTAGCGCATTTGTGGAATCATCTAATGAGCTGAATGTAATGTTTCTCACTGCTTGTACATAATGAAATTCTCATAGTATTTGTAATGAACGGTCCACGAACATTTTAGGCTGAAACGATCACCCCCCCTTGCATGTGTTAACAAACTTTCTTTTATTTATTTTAATCCGTCTGATCACAATATTTAAAATTTCTTATAATTAAGATAATAAAATATCATTCATGTTCCATATCGATTTACATTTCGGAACATTTAAATGTTCCGAAATGTAAATCGATATGGAACATGAATGATATTTTATTATCTTAATTATAAGAAATTTTAAATATTGTGATCAGACGGATTAAAATAAATAATTGTTATAATATTCACAATAGGACGCAATTACACTATCTTATGAAAAACTTTCTTTTGCTGAACAAGGCGTTGCGGCGTCAGACCAAGTCCGCAGCGCCTCTAGCGGTGCCACTGACCGACGTAATTGTAATAATGACGAGTTCACTGGAGCGGATCAATATGGCCGTAGAGCGCCGTTTTTATCAACCTGAGCTCAATGAATGCCATCAAAGCGGGAACAGGTCAATGTCGGTTGCTGCTGATGTTAAATTGCTCTAATTGTGCTAGCTTAGAGGTTTGAAATTAAATTTGCGACTCCCATTTTATTTGGGTGCTGTCAAACACAGTGGCTCGCTCGATTGAATCTCTGCCTTCTTTGAACACTTGGTAGCCACTTTGTTGGTGCAGAACACGTCCTGTTACTGTAACCCGATAACTGATAATTGTGGTTACAGAAATCTAATCATTTGTACCTTTCACATCCCATTTCTATAAGATTCACTTTAATATTGTTTGGTTATATCTTCCCGTCGACACAATCCATAGCTTTTCATACTTCATCAGTGTACACTACATATTCGATAATTAATCACCTTGGAATATAATGACCCTAACAACATCAGGTTAATGAGATTGTAAGGCTCTTTATTAAGCATTTTCAAGTTTCTCTGTTTCTTCATGTTTCGTAAGTAATGTATCTTCCTCAGAATATTTTCTTAAAGAAATTATCCTATTTTATTAAACCGTGAGGTTAATTAATATGTTTATAAGCGCCCTCTACCGGCCTCTATAATGGCCCAGATAAATTAAGTTCTCACCCTGCTACTGCTTCTTTCAAATCATTTTTAATATTATCTTCCCCTGTCTGCTAAGATCTACAGTTTCTCTGCCTATGATATATGAATTTCTTTGTGTTCACTTCCGTGTTATATGCCCGGGACATCACATCTTCTTTTATTTGTTCGTTCTAATAATATTCGGTGAAGAGCGGGCATTTTGACGGAGTTCATTATACAATGTACTCCATCCTGTACATTTTTACTCTTAGATCTGGATGTTCTCATCGCCCCTTTCCAAAAACTGGCAGCCAGTGTTCTTCCAATAGGGCGAAAGACGATAAAACACCAGGCAATATTATTTTATTCTCTACATTTTTATAGGAGACGGCAAGACTACGTTTTTCTGAACAAGATGGTAGGTAATTCTCATGACGTCTCATTATCATCTCATAGACATTCACTAGACCAGTATTATTCAACCTTTTTTGTTCGCGTACCCCCAGATATAATTTCTCTTCGACTTTGTACCCCCTAAGAAGTTTGTTGTTTAATTCAAGTTATACTTAGTATATAATCTACATCTAAAATAAATTAAATAAATTACATTACTGATTATTCAGTGTTTATCATAAAATAATATATTTTTTTTTTAAATTTCGCGTACCCCCGGGGGTACGCGTACCCCAGGATGAATACCACTGCACTAGACTACGTCTTATGAACTGTTTAAAATTAAAATTCAATGTCAACTCTATCCACAAATGGCTGCAGAGGAACGCATAGACATTCCTGTGCCTTCGATGAATTTTTAATCAAATCGACCGTACGAACAGTCTTGTGGCTAAATGCTACCTGGTGACAATTATTCAAATTAAAATTGTTTTATATCTTAATTGCGTCATGTTTGTGTTATATTGATACAATATTTTTATTTTCCGTCTATACACAAACTTAAAATAATGTTGTTTAAAATTATCTAAAATTATAACATTCTCAGTAGATACTGCATCTTGTTACTTTTTTTTTACGTATTAACTCTTTAAATTATTATATTTCCTATGTCAATATCCAAAATCACGACTTGAAAAATTAATTTTACAGATATAAAACATCCAAGTACAACCTCCAAACCAAAAGGAAGAGACAAAAAACTTAAAATTAAACAAATTAAAATAATCAATAAACGCAACGCAAAATAAAATTGTGTTTGTTTTATTAGACGAGTCGGAAACTTTAAAACGGTCCTTACAGCATTTTCTTTTATTTGTGAAGTGTCAGGACTGGCCACTGTGTTCCGCTGGGCACTAAGGATGCTGTAGCTGGACCACCGTGATCAATACAGAGAGGGGTGCAGGAAGGGAGGGTTTCTTCTTGAGCGGGCAAGCTCATTGCCGAGAAGACATGTCCACCATTTTCTCGGTCCACCCTGACCGCACCGCCATGATGACTCAAATATACAAGTATGCCAACTTAACATTTTGTGACGAAAAGGGGTTTTTGAAAGTGAAAATCTTCTGTTAAATTTTTTTAAACTACGTCGCAAAAATTTTAAAATCCTCAAAATTAAAATAGGCCTCTGTAATACTACAATTTGTAATGTATTTTGTTTTACCTGAGTGTGAAACTTGATATATTGTAACGAGGTATGGAGGAGAATATTTGGGCACCAGCTTTCGAGTAAATTCCAGAGAAATTTGGATGATGACGCATTTGATAATTTTAATCTTCACAAAGTTTTATTAGGGTGATAGGACTCGACGTTATTAGATAGGCGAGGCAGTCACCTGGATAAGACTGAGATCTTAAAAGTCCCTGATCCTTATGGAAAGCAAAGTCTGCTCTTCCGGCCCGAAGCCTCACATTATACTAATTGCTTATTAGACAAATAATAAAAATGAATTATGATTAACATCTAGTGTTTTAATTGTGCCTGATATGTGAAGACTCGAAATGATTAAGATTCTATTGTGACGAGATTTTCAAAGTGATGAAATTTTCGATTGCAGTTTTCTGTTTAGTGATGCTGATTATTCATGTAAGTGGTCCTTTAAAATGAATACGATATTTCCTCCAAAACGTTACTAAGTACCTGCACATTTTACCGTAGTCTTCCTAGGGAGTATCTTAAAACATCCTTATTTCGGGATTATTTCTGAGATTGTAATAGGCCAGAAGGCATGAATAAATAAATATAAATGTCAGAACATTTGTTCAGTGGTCATTCACACGTGGCCAGAACTGTGATCCTTTTTTCCTACTAGATTTGTTTACAAGGCTGGTAGATCTGTAGCGATTCACGGAGACTGAAGCTAATACATAGACCAGCCGAACTGTAAAATTGCTTCTAATTCAATACAATGACTAGGCTTGGATCTATTTATTCATGGTTGAGGGGAACATCGTCCTCTTAACTCGCCGTTAAAATTAAACTGGTGGATGTTGGCGGAACAGACAGCAAACTGGGCTTCGTGCATTATTGAGGGCGACATTTAGCTGTCACTGACAAAGCTGAATTTACATAAAGGTAACTAACTGTTCGGAGGAGGTAGATAGAAACCGGGGAAGGGGGGGTATGCATTATTGACGAGCTGTGATCGTGTTCAGGGTTGGTTCAGTTAGCGAGGGAATTGGTGACAAGGGAAGGGCGGAAGATATTGACTGACTGAGTGACTGGCATGTCGAGGATCGGGATGGAACACGCACAGAAAGTCATTGTGCGTGTGTGTGTGTGTGCCAAGTAGCACGCAGTCTGTCTGATGACTGACTGTCAGGTTGTCTTGAAGTATTGTCTACGTCACAGGTCCTCAGGGCCATATTATAACGATAGTGCGTGAGTTAGTTTCATGTTCCTGTTGACTAAATAGCTCGTTCGATGGTTAACTAATTGACCGACAAAGCTTGTGGATGTCTCCCTATTGTAACTTAATAAATGTATGATTGAATTGTCGGTAAGTTTGATTGGTGACTAATGATTTGTTTGTGGTTTCTTTAAAGACGCTGTTAGGGCGATTAATAAATTGAAAAAATTATGGAATAAACCGGCCACGACGTAATTTAAAATGTTATCCCTGCATTTTCGTGGTAAAACTGAAAAATACCAAAGGAAATTTGTTAGGATAGACGGTCTCGGAACCGAGATTTTAACCCAGTTCTCCCTGCGATATTAGATATATCGATTTTTACGTGGTGTGTGATAACAGAAAAATATACGCAGGTCTATACTATAAAGTCGTTACACAAAGCGTGGTCTTGGTCGCCCTTGTAATGTTGTAAGACGTGTTTGTCGTCTTCAATCAGTTCTGTAGTGACCTATGTAGGTAGAGGCCTTGCGACCAGGCTGATCAATCCTCCAAAAAGTCCCTCCAAATGTCTAAAAAGATTAAGAAACATCCCATGTGTGAACTTCAAGATCAAGTTCCGTCAAGGACTCAGCGAAAGTAGGTGCTATAATGTAAGACTTGCAATTTTGGTAATAATGTATCATAATTAATATGTTACCAGTTATAATATATATATATTTACAGACCACAGAGGACAGTGACAACATTTAAACCCAACAGACTGGTAGCATCAGGTGGACTTAGAAAATTGTATTTTTCTTTAAATATTATTAAGAAAATCAAACCAAAAAGGATGAGATAGGTGGAAAGGGAAATAGTTGAAAAATGCGTAGGAAATTTTAGTTGGAAAACCTGAGGGTAAGAGTTTACTTGGAAGACATAGAAGTAGATGAGAGGTTCTTAGGAAAGACCATGCTTTGTGGGTTTAATTTAAACATGATCTCATATTTGGTATAGTTCATAGACACCAAAGACCCTCATAAAATGGAAATGATGATATAAGTTCATACGCACTTCGTAATCCTTTAATATTGACTATGAGAACCGCGAACTTTTGCAAGGAAATTAGCAAGGTATTTCAGAACCAGATTACGGTCTGTACAACTTCAGCGTTAAGTTAAATCTATACAACAGTTGTAAAGTTAAGTAGTACCCATGTATTTATCTATAAGTTACTTAAATAAAGAATGTATATTAAATGTTGTGTTGGAAAACTGCATTGAAAGTTCAATACGACAATTTGTATAACGTCGAGTATACATGACGCTAAATCCGATGTTTCTAAAAATTATTACTTCTGCAATAAATTTGTGAAATGAGACTTATTAACGGCTTTATTTAGTTTTGTGCAGTGTTACCAGTGTAGAAAAATTAAATTAATACTTGTAATAAATGAAAGTCTGGAGAAATTATTTGGAAAATACGAATTTCAAATTGAAGTAACACTTTTACGTTATTTTCATAAATTCTCTCTTACGTCACTTCAGCTGCTTTGTCATTCTGATCCAGCCAGAACCGACTTTTTGTCGCCGTTAATTTGCATTCCGCATTTTTCTTCTCTTTGAAAAGAAAACATAAAACATAACTTCATTGTCTGAAATCCTCGTAAGAAGAATCAGACAGAGAAGACGATAATGAATCGTTGAAAATTCCATTTATTATTTTTCTGTTCGAGACCCTTTCATCTCCCTTCATTCCACGCACATTGCTATTGGTTGGGATTAATTTAGAACATCTGTAGAATTCTTATTACAATGGGACGCTCTCCGTTCTGGGAAGGTTCTAAGAGAATATTTCCATACCATTCTTCTTTTCTTGTTTCATTATTAGAGGGAGAGCGGCCATCGAAGGAAATCGAGTTAATTTCCTGTCTTGTGAAGGTAGATCTTCAGGATAATGAAAATAAACAGCAAATGAAAATTTATGCGAAAATAACGTAAACATGCCTACGGTTGCTTTAAAAAACAAAGAAAATGCAATTTTCTTTTCGAGTTTAAGAAATAAAAGAGAGTAATTGTTTTAAGAACCCTCCTGGCATTAAAATTGCTTCACTAGAATACAAGCTTATCAGAAATTAAACATTTGCTGATTTCATTAACTCTGTAGACCGTGCTGAATAGAAAGTATTGATCTGAGGCACCTATTAAAGTAAACTTTGATCCAGGCTACGTTGCTATCGCGAACACGACACTTGGATTCTGTGGTTACAGAGGAGATTGGACCAGTATTTGCCCGGTATCCAAGCAAAGATGATTCAGGTTCGGACAGGATTAGACGTACGATCCGAACGTTTATATTCTGTTACTACTTAACAGATTTTGATTAAATTTGATAAAGGGAAACAGACGAATTTAAATTTGATCCGTGTTGATGCCATTTTACACGAAACTGATGTCGAACATTGTCGATTATCTCTGAAAAATCTTTCCTTATGGAAGGATAATATTAAAACGAGTCTTTAATAATTAGTGTATGAAGCTGTGGACTGGATTCAACTGGCTCGGAATTCAGCCCAGTAATAGGTGCTTTTTAAAATGGTAATGAACCATAAAAAACCATGAATTTTTGACGTATTAAGCGACTATCAGCTTCTTAAGGAAAGCCCTGCTGTGTGCAGTTAGAAACACGTGTACACGTGGTTAGTATCTGTAGACTATTTCATACTCAATATACTTTATAAGTTTAATTATTCGTGTTTTTTTCCGTCTAATCACAATTGTATATAAATAAAATTATACATAAGATATTAAAATATCATTTACATATTTGGTACAACTTTTTACTACATGTTTCGGTTACATTGAACCATCTTCAGGTGGAAGTAAACATCATCAGAAGTTACACAACAACAGTAATTAAGTTTTAGTTTATAAGATTATAATTTTTAACTTTGTATCCGAGGAGAACTGGATCAATAATATAATAATATTTTAATATTTTATGTATAATTTTATTTATATACAATTGTGATTAGACGGAAAAAAAACAGGAATAATTAAATTTTAATTCACAATATGACGCAATCATATCAACTTATACTTTATAAGATTTTCAAATGGACTATGAGAACAATAAACTATTAGCAAAGTTTTTCATTGTGGTATGGGAACCCACACAGTTGTAGCTGTGAAGGTAAAGTGTCGTGGAGTCATTACAACTCTCAATCACAACGTCACGAACACGTGTGTGGGGAGTAGAGACAAATTGCTACTGACTCTTAAACTTAAGTACGCACTCCGGCCGTCTTATCCCTCTATCTGTTGGATAAACCCCTTGCAGCTGATTCGTAGTTGCTAAAAGATGATTCTGTCCCTGCTGAGAATCAAACCACCATCGTCTAAACCGCCAGTCACTTCACTGACTGAGATTTCCAACCTTCTTTAAACTTTAATTAAAGTCAGTAATCGCAAACACATTGCAGCATTGGACACCGTTGTGACTGCTTTTAGCATCTTAAAGAAGAGAGTACTTGTTGCATAGTATACCGATAGTACATATCAAATGGAATAGAGAACTCTTTGTTCCAGTAAAATGAATACACCATTCTCAATTCTATCATTAGTTAGGAACGAAATTATATAAAATTTAAGACAGAAGAAACAGTCCACTCCCTTACGCTTTCGAGAACGGTTGCAGAAAAAATATTAATAATATTTTCTTGTGGTAAAAAAGATTCACTCTTTATAAACCTCGCCACAGTTGGCTTTTAACTTCGTCAAGAATAGTGCGTCGTATAAGTACCCTACACCACCTGGTTTAAAATTATATTCTTATGGATTCGTCACGACTCTCAGAATAAATAACAATTTCTTCCCTAAACATCATTAAGTAACTCACTGGTCTTCTTAATGGGGAGGCTCTGTGTTTACTTTGAGTAAATAACTGAAATTTAAATACAATTTTATAAACTTCGCCCCTCAGAGAAAAAACAAGTTTAACGAATGATTTATTGTTTAATAATAATTTACGTTAAGGGAGATTACGAATAGTACTTGCTAGATATAAAAAGCAACTTATGATGACTGCCTTCAGGGTTGTTGAACCGTGCAGTCTGGTAGAAGCTTACCGACGTTTCAGAGGTCTTTACTGCCTCCATCATCATGGCGATGATTTCGATACAATAAACATGGTAGAATTAAAAATAGCAGGATGTTTATAAATTGGAATGAATATTTAGGCAACTCTCTGTGGAAATTGTAGAATTCTAGGAAGATTTTCATTTGAGTGAGCCTGTCTCCGGAAC